TTGTGCTTAAAAACATTAAAAGCCCTATAAAAAGGAACTTCTCGAAATTTCATAAAATTAAATGTTAACTAACAGATGTAAAAAAAAAAAAAAAAAATAGTAATATCCATATGGTCACTCGTAGACACAAGAAAAACATTTTTAAGCAAAATTTCGAAGTTTATAAAAAAGATTAATCAAAAATCCTTTGGTCTTTTCAGCTTGAGTTTGACGATAAAATTTTGTTTTTATTAATTTTCGGTTATTTTTTTCCCATTACTTATGCTCATTTAGCGAATCTTTTTTGTACTTAACGCCAAAATGTTTTAGTACGAAAAATAGGTAAGTCCAATGACTTTGTAAAAGTTGATTTGACACTGTCTCGATAAACAGAACCGTCTTCTGAATCGCTAAAAAAAATCCATCGCTAAAACTTCCAACATTAACAAAGAATAATAGGTTTTCTCCCTTAGATCGGCCGTTATGAACTTGAGACCGTCAAAGGCTAAGAAGATATACTCTCCTAACTTGAGGGTAAAACAATTAAACGATGGACTAAGATTTTGAGTAAAATCTGGATTTATTAATGAAAGAATTAATAGAATATCATATAATAGTAAAAAAGACTATTGTACGATTAAAAATATATTTTTTCCTTTTATTAAAAAAAAAAAAAAAATTTAACCCCCTCACGTCCATATTGATTTCTTAAAAAAAAAGAAAAATAGAGAATGAAAAAAAATTAAGTTACATACGAGAATGTAACTGTTTTATTTCATTTTATTTATCTTTGGCATTCAAATTTAATTCAAACGTCAGCATAGACTGGATTTCCTTGAGGTATTTCCAAAATACACGCGTTATTCCTTAAATGAAAGCAAAAAACACTGCTCCGTTTTAAGAATTTATAAAAAAACAGGGAATTTATCGTATATTTCTGCGTATAAGACGACCATTAAATCTAGAAAATCACCCTTAAAAATTGGGGGTCGTCTTATATTACAATTCTAAACAAGAAACCTTAAATTCTCAGTGATTTTTGTCAGTAAGCTAACCTTGGCCATGGTGTGATAAAACCAATACATGAAAAGATTCACATTTATCAAATAAACTGATAATAAAAAGTAATAAAATCATTTCTACCTTATATATTACTGCACTGGCATAACTTCATAATAAATTACAATTTGAAGAATAATTCAATCAATGAAATCAACAACAGTGGAATGTACTTATGATATTATCGTACTGTTATTGGCGGTATTTTGTGATTGTCGATGAAGTAACATAAGTAAATAGCCATTAGTACACCAGTGTTGAAGACTATTGGTTTTTTGCTCCATTTCAAATGTCGGGGTTACCATTCACTGAGGTATGTTAATGACCATTTGTAGATGTCTTTGTTAACATGACCTTACGATTTATATTTAACGCAAAATACCACAAAATATGAAACAGGAAGGAACAAAAATGGTTTTAACAACAAGATTTATATTTATTTTTTGGGTAATGATGTACATGCATAGAGGTTACTATTTTGTTGGTGTTATGTCCCTTTGAATGAATTAAAGTTTTACTGATGAAATTGAAATTTTTATCTGAGCTCACAAAAGTTGAATGAATTATAAAGCTGAAAACAGCTGAATAAACTTTTAACTTTAGAAGAGTATTTCAAAGAGAAAAGTTCTTGTTGCTTGTTTGGAAATGTATGTTTGTAATGCAATTTGGAAAATTTCGTACGTACGTGCATGTGTGAATATGTTTTCATGGGCGTCTGACCGCACATGGTCAAGACTCAAGACAGGAATCCTTTAAGGTTACATTTTTGCAGGAAAAGAGAAAAGAAGAGAATGAACAAGCTTGTGTCTTCTATTTATAATTAATGTAACCACGTGACAGGCTCCCAGGAAAATAGTGTGAAAACTTGACTTTGTCATGTGCTGGAAAAATATTTGTATGTGGGTGGATTGCAACGCCCACTTGTGTGTTTATTGACCAATTAGAAGCTTTCCTGAAAATCTGTATGAAGCTGGGTAAGCTCTTGATCCACTTTTTGCACAGATTTGTTCAAAATTCAACATTGATAAGAAAGCGGTATCGGGATGTTAAACTAGACTGTTTGTAACTGTTTAGATATAAGAAAAGATGAAGAAGAATCAGTATTCGCAAGAGATTACATGATGAAACATAAACAAAACAATGGTTTCCCTTTTAGGGGATGTGTGTAGGAAAAACGTGATATAGAATCAGTTTTGTTTTTTTGTTTATTTTGAATTTCTAAGGACAAGTAAGTCACAGCATTTCCAATAACATCAGCTTTATATAATCAATAAGCAGTTGTATTATATTACAGGTATAGGGTAAATATTCATGAAAATTTGCTATATTTTTTTACCTTGTCTTATCTAATGGTCGCCTTGTACACAGAAATATATAGTAAATGAAATTTTCAGGCCTTATTCATTAATGAATTAATATACAGAATAGCTTATTTTATTAGAAAAATACATTTTTTTGTCAGTTAAACTGCCTTTTTCATATATCGAAACAATTAATCTTCAGATAGTTTTCTTTATAAAACTAAAGATGTTATTTCAGTAAAAATATTTGCAACATCAAATTTTGAAAATTTATCCTGAAATCTTACAAAAATAATTTAGCAAAACTAAAAATATGTTGTGCAGAGATATGAAACATCAACGTCATTTAAAGTGATTAAAACACACAACATAAATATATGAAAAGTTCAAACAAAACACAAGAGTCTTCATATAAAAACACTTGCATATAGATATTTTATATTAAAAATTCTTAATACAAGGTTAGCATGTATCTACTTGCAAAAGACTGTACCAAAAACAGTATGAATTTTTGTACTTATCTGTTTAGTTTGTTATGAGCATGAAATGCCGAAGTGCATGCGTCATGTTTCTAGAACTTCACAGAGCAGAAAGAGGAAGATTGACTTTCCCACCTAACAATGTCTCTTGTGGGTTTTGACAGATCACAAGACTGTTTTTTTTTATTCTTGCAAATATTTATAATTAATTTTTATTGTGATTTTTGTTTGGATCAAGAAGAGATAACTTTTTCTGTTGCTACAAATATAATGAACAAAAATATGAAGTTAGTGCTTGCATAATTTAATAAAACATTTTATTTTCTGTCAGACTTGACAGGAAAAAATCTACAATGGGTATTTATTTTTAAAAAGATTTACTTATAAATTTTCAGTGCTATTTTGAAGTTCTTCTGGTTGTTGAAGACAAGAGATCTTTTTTATGGAATAAAGAGGTTTGAAGAATAAAAAAACTAAATTTTAATGCCACATTGTTTGAATTTGTCAGTCATCATAAAGATTCCTTCTAATACAATGGTAGAAATTTTTTCATAATTGAATACAAGTAGAGAGCATTATACTTATTGGTAGACTGACTCAATAAGTTGGTTGTCTCTAAGCTTTAGCTGTATGTACATAGGAAGGCATGCCAAATCAGGTGTAACTTGTGTAGATGAATGTTCCATGAAAGGATCAGTATTACAAGATACCAAGGACATAGAGACAGGAATTGAGAACTCTTACTTTGTGAAACACTCCCGAGAGGATGCTTCCATACAATCTTTGTTTATGTCAACTGATATCTACCCTACATATCCTCATAATATATACTCTTTCATCTTCTCTTACACTCTTAAAACAATTTCACTCAGTAACCCTCTACCTTGAATGACTCTTGGGCCTTATATTTAGAGAACTAAGGTTAAAAGAAATAAGAGTATAGCACAGGAATTAAATACTCAGAGACAAGGAAAAGCCAATGATGAAATTTGTTTTAAAAGGTGCTGAAAAGTTATTGACCTGATTAATTTCCCCAAATCTGACCAAAACTAAGAAAATTTTTTTTATGAATTCTGCATCATTTGGGTGAATGAAAAACTTTTGTTAAACTTTTAACAAAAGTCTTTAACAAATAATGCTATATAATAGCTACTATTAACTGCATTTGGATCTGCAATTATTTCTACTCAATAGACTCTAGAATAATTTGAAACATAAGTGTTGCCACCTACTCAATAATCATTATGAAAATACAATAGACTTTACTACTGTAATGACCAACATATGTAATTAGTCAAGTCAAAACATATTGTCTGAAGACTGATTTCAAGGCTGAAACAGACTGTTACCACTCAGTGTTGACGTAAGTATCCAGTCACATGATAATAATAATCTCATGATCATGACTGGTGGGAAATTTAAAGTAACAGTTATACATTGATGTCTTTAGACAAATTCCTGGTTACAGCTATCTTGGTTGGGTTCCTCATTTTGTGTTTCTTTATTCTGTAGATACTGGGGTTTTTGATAGGGTAGGTTCCTGTTTGGTTTTGGTCTTTTCTATTACTTTTCAGTTGGTTTATCAAAACTAGAATCTTTCTATTATAGTGTAATAGACAATTTAGATGGGTTGAATTGATTTTGTTTAGTGGCTTATCCAATGCTGAAATCCAAATATTTTGAACAAAACTTCACGGCTTCAAACAAATATATCTTGAACACAGTTGTATGCCTTCAAATACAGATAAAATACATTGTTGGTCATTTTGCTATAAAATGTATGGCTGGTCATTTTGCTTTAAAAATGTATTGTTTATAATTTTACTATAAATAGGTATTTTTAGACTTTTATAATGTTTTGTTTTTGTTTGGAGCATTATTTGCCCGTAACTGGGACCCTGACAGGTACTACCACCCCAGGTTATGTTGGACCTAGAAACAACAGTAATTAAGAAGTGGTTCCATGCTCCTCAAAACCTCCAATATCACAATCAGAGGCCTTACAGATAGATTATTGCCATACCCAGGACTAGAGAATTCAGCTTAAAGATTGTGTAAGTTCATAGAATGGTGAAGAAAATTCTTTGATAACTGATGCTATGAATTTATATGAATAAAAAATGTTTGAAACTTTTACATCAAAATAATGCATACTCTAAGTTTAATCAATTCTTTTTTTCAGTTTTTCTCTTATCATGAATAAAGAAGAAAAAATTTTCACCCTAAATTATGATCCTATTGTCAAAGAATTGGCAACTTTGTCCAATGAAGTCGAAGATGAAAAACTTAAGAAACGTGTAGAAGACATCATTGATCTCCGTTACAAACGTGATGCCTATGGGACTGATTTCAATACACCAGCGTCTCCAGTTTTGCAGGGACTTCTACATGAGACAATGACAAAAGACTGGGACTCTGTGTGGGAGAAAAAAGAAGTCTCATATAAAGTTTCACCACGCATGATGTCTGGATTTTGGGCAGGTGAGTAGTTAAGATAGTTCCAATTCCAGTTCATTATATTTACTAATGCAAAAATACCCTTAGGAAAGTTATGATCCATCTCTTCTTCCCCCACCTATGAGTGAATTAGTAAGACTTATATCACTAAATTATTATTATCTCCATAAAAAAATTCTTACAATCTTAAAATATTTTCTAGTAACCTGCAAGAGGTTGATAAGCAATAAAAGAAAATTGTTTCTTCAATATAATAATTTAAAATTTAATTCATAGTAATGGTCATAATAAAAATAACTGAACATTGAACATTTGTATTAAAAAATCATTAAAATTTTATAAGAAATGTTCACCTCTGATGCTTGCATTAAACATTAACTTATTCCCCAGAGAATTGAGTGACAATTAATTTTTTAGGCAAAATAACTACACCCTCGTTATTTTGCAGGTGTATACTTTTTTAACCTTACAGTATTATAAGAAATGGTAATGAATCTAAACTAATAAGGACAGAAATATTTCATAACAATTTATTAATTTCCTTCAGTTTAGCCACTTATTTAAAAAAATATTTGTTTTTTAAAATAAAGTTTTTAAAACAAACATTAAAACTCAATATTAAATAATTACACTTCTGTCTTAACTTTTTTTTTTTTTTTTTTAGAGAAACAAATCTTTAATCTTTTTGTATGTTTCTGCTACTTGATGAATCTTTCCTCCAGACGTGCTTGGGTGAGAGCTTCTACAGTTGAGTTGGAATGGACATTCTACAGTTGATCCTAAATGAATATTTAAAAATATTTTAAAAACCATTCCAGAAGACTTTAAAGCATAATATTTGAAAATTTTACATCTAAATAATCTTAATTTACCTTTTTATATTACAAACTTAAGATTCTTAGTTTGTAATACTAATATAAAATGTTAATCTTGTAATATGCACTAGATTTGATTTTTCTGAAAATGTTTAGTTTAAAAATCTATAAAAAATTTAATGTAGAATGTTGTTATTTTCACATAATGTTTCCAAAATAGTGATTTTTATAGGAAATTTATTGAAATCTCTGAAAAGCATGATATTTATACAATTTTTGAGCTTTAAAAATTGCAAGTTTAGTAAAAACTTTCAAAATGTAAACAAACTCTAAATCATGTATATTTCTGGTTCTACTTTACTATGAATGGTTTTCTTTATTTGAAAAAATCTCGAATCTTTTTCTACAAAAAGAACCAATTGAAAAGAAAAAAAATAACATTCATTTTTAACAAATTTCAAAGATCTACAGTTGATTAGTCTGGGAGGAGATTCTACAGCTGAGTTAAGTTGGGGTAGAGATTTTACAGTTGATCAGTTGGGGGATTCTTCAACTGATCCAATGTTTTATATGAACGTTTTCCAATAAAGAAACAAATAATTTGTTATCTTCAAGATACACACTCCCAAATTTTTCAGTTTTTTTTTTTAAGGAATGCCACCTTCAAATTAGCAGACTTGTATGCTCTTTTGATCTGCTTTTTTTTTTTTTTTTGGAAAATAAACTTGTTTTTCATCTGAATTCTTAAATAATTTTCTTTTGCAATAAATTAATTTTTCAATGAATATATATCAATGAATTTTTTTAATAATAAAATTTGGAAACTTTTTTTTTTTTTTAAACAATTAATTGAAAACAAATCAAATATTATTTCAGAAAATTTCCTGAAAAAAGTAGATCAAAAGAGAGTATGAGGCTGGCTCTTGCTGCTACTATAAATAGAGCATTCCTTAAAAAATAAGCTGAAAATTTTAGAATTGCATATCTTGAAGATAACCAAATAAGTAAAACTGTTGTTTTTTTTTTTTTTATAAATAGTTTAGACTTTTTTCATAACCTCATAGCAGTTATGTTGAAAAAAATAACAAGGTGGTTGTTGTTGTGCAGGAACTGGCAAAATAGCCTCTTCCTAATTTTTAAATTTAAATGAAGGCTGTTTTGTTCTAAAGTGTTTCAATTATTAAAATAAAAAAAAAGAATTAAACTTATGCTTTGAAGTTAACAGGTTTTTTTACCAAGGATAACTGGTTAGTCCAGTGCTGTGTGTCGGTTCTCTGAGTGTACATGGTGGACTGTTTCAGGATTGGTACCACAGACTCATAAAATATAACATGGGTAAACATCATTTGGGGTAATAAAACAATAAAACCTTAATATTTCTTAAAACCCATGTGTGTTATCATTTACTATCAAAATAAACTATAATGGTTATTTTCATTCAGTGATTTTTCTTTTAAATCTAATCTGTATCCCATATGTAAAAAAAAAAAAAAAAAAAAAATTGGAAATTTCAATTAATCAAATTACTAATTAAACATGTTAATAATAATGTAAATATTTTCAAATTTCATGGACAATAAGAAAAATATAAATTATAATCTAAGAAAACATTTGAAAAAATGTGATATTTTATTTTTAATTTTCTGCCCAAAAGACCTTTGGTTTGGGAAGGAGTGTAAATTAAAAATAAACAGACCAATTTTATTTCTCCATAATTATAATCTTTAAAATCTTAAGACTTCAAAGAAGAAACGACTTTTCTTTATTTCTTCAAGCAACTTTAGTCTGAATGAAAAATCATTTGTAAATTTTTTAAAATATATTAAAATCTCGAAAAAATATGCTATCCTACATTGAGAAATTTTAATCATACATTTTTAGATAGATTAAATAAATCTTTATTTAATAACAAATATTTCAACTTTCAAAATTCACTGTAAAATTTTTAAGTGAATAAAAAGTAGGTAAATTGCATCAGAGGAAATTTGTTTTGGGATCAACCCACAGAAAAAATATTGTTTTTAAAACTCCACTAGGAAAAAGCACAGTATAAAAATTCTTTTTTGAGTTTTTTAAAAACAAAATTAAAATTTTCAAATAATTTTTCCAGGATGTTCACATTGTAAGTTTAATTCTTTTTATATGTGGTTCTCTTGTTTTTGATCTTTGCAGAAATGTAAAAATTAGTGATTGGGATTTTTTTTTATTCAAATGACCAAATGTTGAAACACTCCTAAAAAATATTTTCTCAAGTTTTTTTTTTTTTTTTTTTTTTTTAATCAAAGAAGCTATTCATTATAAAATTAATTTATTTTATTCATTAGAATAAAATACCAAAAACTTCATTAAAATTTCAACATGTTCACAATTGATTTTGAAATCATTTAAAAAAAAAAAATTTTTCTCACATTTTATTTTTATTAAAAATAATTTAAAACTGATCCAAAAATTAATACAAAAACATGGGGTGGGATGGGGGAAATGTATATGAATATCTAGGGGAAAAGGATCATTCAGGTGTTCAGTAATGTGTACCAACATTCATACTCTGATTTGCATTTTCAAAGTCCATTCAAGAACCATCAAGATAATGGTGAATAAATCTAAAAAAGAGGGAACAGTGGAGAGGAAAACTGGATCAGGAGGTAACATCATCTTGAATAAGTTGGAAAATGATCCTGCAATTATATATATATATATATATATATATATATATATATATATATATATTATATATATTTATTAAAAAAACTAGGTAATCCGTATGAGTAAACCTAAGGAGGATAAAATCCATGAGTCCTTTAAAAAGGGCTGTGGTGAAATAATTATTACATGGAACCTTAAAGTGGTCTGCTTTTATCTAAATTATATATATATATATATATATATATATATATAATATATATATATGAACTGTATTTCAATACTTTAGGATCTTCCAATCCTTATCTATGATTAATTAATGATGAACATGTCATTTTCGTTTATGATTGATTTCATCATGATACTTCTGTTAAGCTTGGAGAGTAATTATACATTCTTATTGCTCAAAGTTGAGTCCAATGGTGTTATAAAAACCTCAGAGAATTCCAGTAAGGTATCTTTAATCATTTCTAAGATCAGTGCTTGATCTAAGAATTGGACAATTTTGCTGTTACACCTGGTATATTTCAGCACTTTACTTTCCATTAATTCTTTCGTTATTGCCAAAGTTTTGTTACTTTAGATTATTAAACATTTCCTAGTTTTTATTTATTTATTTTATTCATTTAAAAATTCTCATAGTATTTTTGTTATTAGTAAAGCTAATATAAAAGAACACATATACATATTGGTTCTGATCTGGCATCTTGGCTTCAGTCACTTTTCTACTGCTGCAGGGTTGCCTCCCTGTGTCTTTTCTATAAGTACTTTCACAGTAATTGTTTGGATGAACTCTTTGCTCTCATACCTAGACTTTGAAATTAAGTGCAGTACTAGACTGGCATTGAGATTTCATTAATTTGCAGTTGAGTTGGCTAGATGTTACCATAAATTCTATGCTAACAGTTTCTTTTCTTGTACTTCTTGTTTGTGGAACTCCCTTCCAGTTCCATTCTTTTCAGCTAAGTTTAATCTTCAAAAATTTAAATGCAATGTCAATCACTATCTGTTGTCCTCCTGATTACTCTTTTTGTTCTCAGTCATTCTGTTTCTAATTCTTCCACACCCAGTAACCCTTTGTGTCTTAGTGACTTTACTTACTTGTTTTGGGTGAACTCGATTTAAAAAAAAATAAATGGGTATTAGATTTTACATTTTATGTGGGAAGTTTTTACTATTAAATGTCAATACTAAAAGGAATGTTTCTTCTATGATAATTATTCAAGGATTTTTTGATACCTATTGTCTTTCATGAACCTGTCAAACAACACATGCAGTCTATTCTGAAAAAAAAACAAACTCACCTCTGATATAAGAAATAAAATGTAAAAATGTATTGGCCTACTTTGTCCTTAGATTCATAGAATTTTAATATCTTTGTTATACATTAGATATCCAAATATTGATATGAGATTAAATATTTATTACATTTTTGACTATTCTTCTTCAGCTGCAAAATACTACCAAGAAGCTCAAAGAGTTTTATCATTGGAAGAAAAATAATTTACTTTAATGCTTAATTGCCATTATTTCTTTTGATATACCATATATGATAAAATATAAACCTTTTTCTATTTACGTTTAATACCACATTATTATGGTAATCAACAGCATCTGGATAAACATCAGCATACTAGATACTTCAACTTCACATGCATGACATATATTTTATTTTCTACTTTTTGAGCTTTTATCTTTCTGTTTTCTTTTTTCTTTTTTTTTAAGTCTTTAGCTTTTAGTCTTATTCTTTTTAGTCTTTTTCTTTCTTTTTTTTTTGTTAGCCTCCTAAAGAAAAGGAAATTTTTAAATATAATACTACTTCAAAATAGAAAATTGACACTGCCTGGGTGCTGGTTACATAAAAGCAAATGCCCATAACACATCCAGTTTATACACATATTGTTCAAGATCCTCAAATTCTGGGGCATCATTTCATATTTATTGTTTTTCAATAATTTTTTTAGCTGATTCCATTTTCAGCTATGAAATTTAAATAAAAATTATCAATTCAGGGAAGAATTAAAATATTAGAATTTTTTTTAATCATTTCACTTGGAGACAAGAAACTTAATTTTTCAACCATAAAAAAATCAGATAATTATAAAATTTATTGAACTTCTCAGAAATTATTTGGCAATAAATAGAATTATTTCTTAAAGGCTTCTGTTTTATTTTTACTTTGAATATTTTTAGGCTGCCCATTGAATTACAATATATATATGCCCTCCACCACAAGCATACATGCACATACACAATTTAAATGAAATTGAAGTGACATCTGTGTCACAAGAGCTAATTTCTTTTTCTCTCTGGAAAAAACCATTTTTCTGACATGATATATTTTCTAATAAATGTATTATTTTATAAGTGGACAATTTAGATATTAAATTTAAACATCTTGTCATTAGCAAAGTGACAGGTACCAAACTAGTAGTTAACAATAAGTCAAAGAATAACACTTCTAAAAAAATTTAATCATGAGAATTTCGGCAGCAAAGGTGGAAGTTGGCAGACTTTGAGAGAGTCAGCCAAAGTGGTAAAGTTCTGTGGACTTGCAGTTTTAGACTCTCAAAGAAAACCCATATATATATATATATATATATATATGTGTGTGTGTGTGTGTGTATATATATATATGTATATATATATATATATTTTTTTTTTTTAAAGAAAAACAGACCACTTTAAGGTACCATTATAATAATTTATTTCACCAGAGCCTTTTTAAGGATGCCAAATCATCAGATAGCACTTCCAAAAATGAAATGAAAATTGATGGGTAGTGTAAGTTTTGTAATTTAACAAAGTATATATATATATATATATATATATATATATATATTTTATTAAAGACATTTTTATGTTTAACGTTGTTTTTTTTTTTTTTTAGATACAAGTATTTAAGTAAATGCTCTGTTTATGATAAACAGTATTAAATAACATTTACCGGCCTGAATGTCCAAGAAATTTTCATAGAAAATATTCGTTCTTTGACAGGATTCGAACCTGCATCCTATACGGAACCTTCATTTACGCTGACGTGCCTTAACGTTCGGCTACAAAGAATCGTTCGGTAGACAAGGTCGAATTTACTGCTTTTAAACTTCAATCTTCCATGAATCTCGTACATTCATAACTCCTCTGGCGTATCAAATGTAAACAAATGACGTCATATATTAAGAAATGGACAAGGTCTGACAATTTATTTATTAAAGACATTTTTATGTTTAACGTTGTTTTTTTTTTATAGATACAAGTATCAACATTCTCTACCAAGTGTTCCAAGAAATAGGACTCAAGATAAAACTTTCCAGAAAAGAAACTATGATCTGGAATTGGAATGAAAACAATATTCTCACCTACCATCAAAAAATTCAAGATATGGATTTAGTTCATAATAAACACTTCAAATATTTATGTACATAGATCAGTTATATCAAATTTAATAAAATAGATAAGGAAGTTGAATATATATAATAGACTGTGCTAGGGGTAGTTTTGTCCAACACCACAAAATGCTACAAAACCTAAGCATTAATCTAAAAATCTGAGTCATGTTCTTGGATAGCCTCATCATATTGAGACTTTCATACGGATATCATGTATGACACCAGATGAGTTCAGAAATATCTAAACTGTCAGCTATATACAACTGCTTTCTAAGATCAATGGTTAAAATGGTTTTGAGTTAGTGAAGCCTGTAGGTTTTAGTAAGGACCATTCTTCTTCAAACCTTGTGTACTGGTGCTACAGAATCATACTGTACCACATAACAGGAACCACATTACTCCCCCACACACTTCTATTAGGATTGTACACCTGAAGAAGTCTATGGAATGGTTAAAATTATGATAGCAACAAAAACAGTAAAAAGAATGAGATCTGTACTCTGAATAACTGTTTTTTTTATTTCTATATGGTATTGTTTTATTCAATAGAAGGCCCAAGCGCCACTCAAGGTAGAGGGTTACTGAATGCGCTTGTTGTAAGGCCATAAAAGGAGAGAGCAATGGATGCACATTATGAGGTTATGTACGATAGATATCCATTAACCATTGACTTGAAAAGGTTAAAATCATAGTGAGCAGGGAGGCATTCTCTTAGGAGTCTATCCTACAAATTAATAATTTTGAAGAACTTCCTCCTCACCAATGGAATATGTCATTAATGAGGATGATTCAATCCTGTCTAGATGGCATGGCAGGTCATAGCTGGAACTATCAGTCTAACCTTCAGCTGTGCTTGTTTCTGATTTTGATTAATGCATGTGATTCTAGATTAGGTTGTTATATTTTATCAATTATTATTGTTGGAAAAAAATGAAAACAATTATTCAACTGAGGCCAATTCATTTGCAATAAGCTAATGTTGTGACTGAATATTTTATCATTTACAGGTCAAATCTTGAAGATGCTTGTAAGTATGCAAAGCGCTCGCCGAGTTCTTGAAATTGGAATGTTTACAGGCTATGGTGCACTTTCCATGGCTGAGGCAATGCCTGAAGATGGTGAATTGGTTACCTGTGATGTTGAACCATACTTTGGGAAAATGGCCCGAAAGCATTTTGACAAAAGTCCCCATGGCAAGAAGATCACTATCAAAATAGGTGAGTATCAGAATATAAACAGGTAGATCAATAAGTCTGAAAATTAATAATGACAAAAATATTTATTTTAAACAACAAATATTTAATTTTTAACATAATCTCTGAGATACAAAAATCAAATAAATAACAATGATTTAAATATCTGGGAAGTGTTTTAGCAGATGACAGAAAGTGCAACACTGATATCCGAAGCTGTACTGGGATAGCAAAAAAAACGCCTTCCACAAGCTAAGCAAAATATTAAGAAACAAAAAATTTTGTTAGAGACAAGAGTACTGAATTGTTATGAAATACCAGTCCTCCTATATGGCAATGTGGTGATAAGTCGTTACAATATTATTCTATGTGATCAATATCCTTCTATGTCCCGTGTCCTTTCATGACATTGGCAATCATGGCTCTCCACAATTTCCTGTTCTTTGTAGATCTTAATAAATTTTGTCTTTTTCTTATCTCTCCTAAACCTTGTTCTTCCATCCATTTACTCAAGCTCTCTAGTTAGATTATGCATTTTTTCCTCTATCTCTTTTGTCTTCACCTTCAATCTCTCCTGTGAGTATCAAATTTTATAAGCCCTCTTTCCTCATTATGTGCCCTTAAAAAATTCAACTGCCTCTTTCTGATGTTAATTATAAGTGTCCTATTTATTTCCACTTTCTCTAAAACTACCTCGTTTCTCACATGTTTAATTCATGGTATTCTCAGCATCCTTCTGTAGAACCAGATTTCTGCTACTCCTTCATATGTGATGAGATTGTCGAGCATTCACTGTAGCTCAGCATCTATTTGTCACAAGCCTTATTTGCTAAACATTTATGCAAGCTCATTAGGTAGGTCATGTGCTGTTTTTCTCTGTCCCTTTTGCTTTTAATATGTCCTTGGAGTGTCAAGTTTTCTAAGCCTTCTTTCCTCATATGCTCTAGAAATTTCAACTGCCTCTTTCTGATGTTAAATATAAGTGTCCTTTTTTGTTTCTATTTTTTCTAAAACTTCCTCATTGCTCACATGTTTGGTTCATGGTATCCTTAATACTCTTCTGTAGAACCACATTTTGGTTGCTTCAAATTGCTTCATCTTTCCTCTCTTTTGTAGCACTTAATAAACTTTGTCTTTTTGTCATCTTTCCTAAACCTTGTCCTGCCAAACCTTTACTCAATCTGGCTAGTTAGGTTATGCATTGTTTTTTTCTATCACTCTTGATTTCAATCTCTCCCGTGAGTATCAATTTTTCCAAGCCCTCTTTTCTCATTACGTGATCTAGAAATTTCAACTATCTCTTCCTGATGTTATGTACAAGTCTTTTCATTTTGAAACTTTGTCGTTGCTCATATGTTTTGTCTATGGTAATCTCAGCATCTTCCTGTAGAACTACATTTCTGTTACTTTAAGTCTCTTCTTCATCTGTGAGGAGATTGTCCCACATTCACTATAAAGAAAAACTTGTGCAACTGAGGTCACTTCTATAAATATAATAAAAAAATAAAAACTATCTTGCATTCTCCTCACAAAATGAATTTGAACAACCTAACTTTTTCTGTAGAATAATCCTTAAATTATACAAGGAACATATCAGATAAAAATTCAGCTAATACCTGTGTTAGGCTATGAACTTATTGATGCACCCTTGTAGGTTTGAATTAGATAAATACACTTAATGATTCTCATTGTTATAATTTTTACTTCACACCATGATTTCATTAATAATTTTTTATTCTTTCCTAAAGTAATTTTTTTTAACTTTAGACATATGATAACCAATATTTACTTTATCTACTACTATACTGGGAGGCATGGTGGAGTAATGAACAGTGGCTCGGATTGAGGAATTGGAGAGCTGAGTTCAAACTCCAGCCGAATCCATTACATTCACTTACGTGCTAATACCCTTGGTAAAGGTATGAATCCTCTTCTTCTTCCCCCCAGCTATGAGTAAATATCAGGACAGACTGTGTTCTATAGCCTTGGATGGCAACTGGTCTACTGCAGAAAGAAATGGCAACCTACTGCAGGAAAAAAAATGTCTTATCAGTCATGTATTGAAAGATACATGATTGCCTAAGCGTGTATCACACATGGCACATAACTGACTACTATACACTAGCAAATTCTCTAGCAAGACTATACAAGCAGTATGGCCTTTGCTTTTCTAGGTCATCATATTAATGATTATTACTAAAAGAGTCTGTCAAGCTTTAGGCAAGAATGGTGAAGCTTGGGCTGTTGTTTTTTACATCTTGAAAGCATTTGACTGGTATTCTTCACAAGTTCAAAGGCTATGGTATTTCTGTACAAATTTTTTAACTGATTCAGTCTTTCTTACTAAATCATGAAATGAAAGTTGTCCTGAATGACCACTCTTCTAGATCTTTTTGTACTAATGCAGATGTCCCCAGGGTTACTTAATTTTCATCAATGATCTTCCTGATGACATCATTTCTCAACTTGATATCTATGCTGATGACATGACCATTTACTCCTGTCTCAAGAGTAAGTCAATAAGGTTCAATAAAGTTCGATAAGGTCAAATTGGCAGCTGATATAAAAAATCACCTGCAGTCCATTGTTAACTGTGACAAGGAACATAATATTTTAACTGGTGTTGAACATAATTTTTATATTTTTTCTAATACAGCCCCGGCTTTGGAAACGATGGCAAAATTATCTGAAGAAGGCAAACAATTTGATTTGGTTTTTATTGATGCTGAAAAATCTGGTTACATTGGATATTTTAAGGTAATTTCTTTTCTAAATTTTAACTTTACTGTTGTGTGTATTTGTTCATGCATACACACACAAACATGTGTGTGTGTGAGTGATGTGTATATGGATATACCCCCAAAGTAACTGATATTATTTTCTTTTAAAAATTTTATTTTTTGGATTTTTGAAAAAAATGTATAGGTCATTTCAAACTTGTTCACTTAAAGCGTAACACATTTTGAAATAAATTGCTTTTGGAAAGTTTATTATTGGACAAGACATAAATTTTGTGGAAACACATTTCATTTTCAAATCTTCTCTTGACATTATGACAAATCTGTCATCTCAGATGTCTTGTTATTGTCTTCATTGATTTCATTGCTAAAGTTTTTCAAGATTTTCATTCTGTCATTTCAAGATGCTGTTATTAGTTTAGGGTCATTTGAGTAGGTGTCATCTGTTGAACAAAAACTAAAAGTATTGAATTGGTTGAGAAAATAGAAAAATAAGAAACAAAATGTGAAAGAAATTTTCATTCTGTGAACATTTTTGGGTAGAGAAAATTTTGAGGATATTTCCTGAAAGAATGTGCAAATTCAAGGAATGTCCTTAAGAGTTTCTGTAAAAAAAATAAAGAAAAACTTTAACTTACTTTGTTAGTGAGTTAAAGAGTGAGTGATATATATCTTCTAAGCCATGTGCATCTATTAAGAGGGTACTTTATTGTCCTACCTTAACCTCAGTATGAAGGGGTAAAACAGAGCTAGCCTATTGGGATTCACAGTCTGCATGATCCCATATTTTTTATGCATGTCCAAAAGCTGAAAAGGGGCTTGCTGCTGCTGATAGGGTTTTCAACACATGTATGTTTGGCAAAGAAGTTTAATGCCTGCTACAAGGGTTGACCAGATCAGGGTTAGTTTTTCAAGGTGAAATTTCACCACATTTGAAATATGAAAATCTCTCATAAATTTGTGTTTTATTTAAAGCTTTGTAATACTCTGCCTCAAGTTAAATCTATTCTTGATCTCACTCTACATCAAAAATCATTGGCTAGATGTGAAAGCTTCAAAAGCAAAACTAAAAGTTACAGGTGCTCCAAGCATCACATCCAGCTCACAAGACAAATCCTTTCCCCAAAGATTTTATATATATATATATATATATATATATATATATATAATACAATATGAAAGGAACCAATCACAAATTGAAGCAAAAGGCAGGAAGAGCAAAAAAAAAAAAAAACTGAGTCATGATCCACTCTGTCTGCTTTAAAGAAGCATACTGTCAACATAATCACTTGTGACCTTGGTTAACCAACCCAAAACATAAAGCAACATAACAAAGAAAGAAAATATGTTTAAAAATTGAATTATTTCACTACCATGTAACAATAATAATTGTAAATGAATTGTTTTTGATAAAGACTATAAAATTTATATAACACATGTACTTTTGTCTTTTTTTTTTTCCTAGTTTATTCTTGATAATAACTTGCTGGCATCCAGAGGAAGCCTTGTTTTTGATAATGTATACTGGTCTGGCCATCCTTATATTGATGATCCCAACAAATATGAAGTTATGAGAGAATTTAACAACTATATCAAAGAAGATCCAAGAGTCTTCCAGGTAAATCAGATTTTTAAAAATAATTTTTTAAAAAATTGTTCACATGTGTTTGTTCACATAATATCTCCAAAATTTCTTAATGGATTTAAAGACATTTTGTGAAAGAGCAGCTACTTATAAATACATCAATAAATCTACAGCTTAATGAGGAAAAAAAAACACTTATTTTGTACAACAAATATTTATTTTTCAGCATCAAAATCATATTTCTTGTCAAGACACAGAATTCAGTGGTGAAATTAATCACAAAGATAAAACATTATACAATGAAATTTTCAGATCAAAATACAGCTAATAATTGTATAGACCTCTTGATCAAAACTCATAGATAATTTTGGTTGTATAATTTTAAAAAATGTGTATTAACAGCATTATTTATATATGAATTGATACTTTAGCTAAGGATAATTGCACTCTAAGATCGATATTTAACAGTCCTCCCACAAGGATTGTATGTGGCACAAGGCCGAGTTTAACATGGGTTTCTTCGAGCCTGTAGGCTCGGCCAAAAATATTACCTTTGAACCTGCATAAGTGTGTTCGGGATCTGTCTACCTCCTTCGGCAAAGCTTCGTCCGGGTTCCTCTCTGCTTTGGCAGAGAGTTCGACAGAAGTTGCACACAGTCAGAGACTGCTCTACGACTGTTTAAAAAAAAAAAAAAAAATGAAGAAAAACTCTAAGATCAGTATTGCTTTCTGGTAGTTTTACCTAAGATCAGTCTAGTATCTGTGCATTATGAATGGTCATCACACTCATAAAAATAAATATTTAGTGTATTATATATGTTTTTTTGTTAAGTGGTGGTGGGGGGCATAAATTTTCCTTTTTAATGTTTTCCTTCCCTAGATATTTTGATATTTTATGAATCAAAAACCTGAAACAATTTCTTTGCTCAAAACGGATTCCATTTAACTTTTCAGGTTCTTCTTCCTATCAGAGATGGTATGGCACTGGTGCGCAAAAAAGAAGATGTAGAATATTCGAATTAGATCACATTTATTTTTAAAAGAAAAAATAATTATATATATATATATATATATATATATAATAGTAAAGAAAGATTGCAGTATGCTTCTATATAATACATAGATATAGTAGGCCAATGAAAGATATTTGAGAGATAAAAGAAACAATATTGATAATAAAAGATATATTATTTTATTTAGTTTCAAAGGACCTGTCATCTCACTTTGAAATTAGAATGCTATAAATTGTACTAATGTTTATTTGATGTGAAAAAGAACTTATTTTGTACAACAAAATAAGTGCTTTTGCACGTTAAATAAATGAAAATACCCAAGTTTCTTTCTTTTTTTTCTCCATATCCTCATTCTCTGATAGAGCTTTGATAAAAATGAAACATGTTAAATTGATAAACATTTCCTATATGTTCTTTATCTTATCATTCTGTCAGATTCTAATCCATATTTGATACATATTTATGATATTTATTGTATATTATTAGTTGAGAGAATGATGCGAAAAGACGTTAAAATCAGAATTTTCAGACATGCCGTGTCTTTTTTCAACAAGAAGTAAAATTAAATTGGACTTTTTTTTTTTTTGTATGTGTTATATTACTGATGAAAACCAGTAGTTTATGGTTAGTTGTTTGTCCTGAATAGGGTTGTAGAAGGTTTGTAGTTTGTTTTTAACATCTTTTTTTATCATACTTGTATTTTAGACTAAATGCCTAATAATATACCATTAATATTATATTTTTTATTACCATTAATATTGTTTATTACCTCTTGAATTTCAATCATTAACCTACTATATATATATTCTTGTGAAACATTAAAATTTCCTTGAGGCCAAAATTTTGTTGTTTTTTTTTCCTGCACATTGGAGCAAGGTCATAAAAATTAAAGTGCCTTATGACACACTCATATATAAAATGATAAAATAAATGTGCCCGGTATAAGGATAATTTTTCCCATGACATCACTTTTTAGCTACTTTCACTTTTTGACAATACAGTGGAACCTCAGTTCATAAATTTAATTTATTCCTGAAGGCTCTTTGGAACCCGAAATGTTCATAACCCAAAACTATTTTTCCAATAGGAATCTATGTAGAGAAAAAAGTCGCAGTACAATAAAATTGGAAAAGAAAAGCACAGCACAACACACGAATGTATACAACAAGGCAGTTGAGTCAGAAATGATTCTGTTCAGGTTAACTCGGTTTGGCAATGTTGTTCGAGAACCAAAATTTTGTTTGATAACCAAGGCATTTTCATCTTGAATTTTCTGTTCGAAAACTGATTTGTTCAACATATGAGATCGTTGAAAACGAGGTTGCTCTGTATCTATTGTTTTTAAAAAGTGATGATTAGAATTGTAATAAAACCTAAACATATGAAAGTGAATTTATAAGTTTTCTTTGTTCTTGAGAATTGACAACAAAAATGATAAACACTATTTATTAGATTGTTTATTTACACTTCTAACACTTTCACCCTAGCCCCTCAACCTCTGATGTTTTACTCTCTGAGTTGAGGTGTCTACTTGGTCCTGACTGAACTTAAGGGAGTGACCATAGGTCCCCCGAGCATCTGTAGATTATTCGACCGGTCCACTGGTTTAATCCTGCTTCCTGCCCATGTTGTGATTGGTTTGATCCAGAAAACAGAAGTGATATTTGTCCATTCACAGTCGACTGAAGATGTAGACACAGCTGGAGAGTCCAAACTAAGAAATTTAGAATGCAGCAAAAAAATTAATATCTGAGAAAGCTGGACAAACAACTATTCAATGGTTGAATTGTTAATGTCTTTTATATAGCAGAAAAGAATAGTATATAAAAAAAATGGGTTACAGAAAAGAAAAGTAATTGACATAAAAATGCATACACTGGATTCTGGACAGAGAGAGAGTGTGTTATGATTAACTTGTTAAATTGTCTCGGAATGATATACGACTCTTGCGATGGAATAAGATTTCTGTGAGTTGCTTAAAGTTTATAGTGGCGTTCCTCCTTAGCAGTAGTAACAGTAGTAGTAATATTTGTGGTAGCAGAAGCAGCGGTACTTATATCAACAGTACATGTTAGTGGAGGCTTCGTTCCAATCTCTGATGTCACTCTCTCCAACTCGACTTTCCACTGTCTCCAGTCCAACTCTTGCCCGGGCTAATTCTCTTCTACAGTCTCGCCAAGAATTTTCTCCTGTTTCTCCCTTCCGTCTGCCTCTTTCGTCTCTCCTGTAGCACCGCAACTCATAACGGTCGACGCGGGTACTCACGCACATGATGGCACATAGGCGATGACAAAGTGCCAACCGATCGCTGTCTCTCCTGTCTCTCTCTTCCATCTGTCTCTTTTTCAGCATAACTACGCGTTGATATAGAACCTTGGCCCTACTACTTTGCATGCGATTTTCACGGGGTTTTAGCTGTTTCAGCTAAAATCATGTGAATTCTAAAGGTCCTCCTTGCTTACTCAGCTCTATTCCAAGTTTTAATCAATAAAAATTATTTCGACCATTTCCATTGTCTGCTAATGACCCAGTTCCAATGGGTACAGCTCCTGCCTTAGATCAGATTTCCCATCAGTAAACAAAATGCTCTGATCTAATTTTGCTATTCAAATCTACTCCCATTTCAGTAAAAAAAATATATATATATATGTGTGTGTTTCCCAGACTCACACACTATTGATTATATTATTTATTGGAATATTTGACAAAATATCAGCGAATTACCAATTGAGTTAAACTTTATAAAATGGTAGATAATAAGGTTTTCCTTTCAGTTGATTCACATTTTTTTAATCATTTCATCCCAAGCAAGGCAATAAAGCCACTTGGATGCAGGAGGTTACCGAGTGTTAGAAAATATGAGAAAACCTACTATTATTGAGGAGAGAGGAGAATAAAAATTAGGAAGACATAAGATAACAATTGACACTGCATTTAAATTTTTGAAGATCAAAATTGACAGGAAAGCAAACAGCTGGAAGAGAGTTCCACAAGCAAGAAGTGTGAAAGAAGAAACTATTAGCATATAACTTATGGTTACATCTAGCAATTTCAACTGTAAATTGATGAGACCTAGCTGCCAATCTAGTACTGTTCTTAAATTCATGAAGTCTAGAAACCACAGAGGAAAGTTCATCAGAACAATTACCATGAAAATATTTATAGGAAAGGCACAGGCAAGCTATGGTGGTGGGAAAGGGACTGAAACTGAGATGTTGAGTCAGGACCAATAATGTTGCAGATTCTTCTTTATATAATAGGGGCACCAGACCAAATGCCGTTTTTAAGAGGTTCCTTGTTAATTCTTCTTCAGTTCATGTTCTAAGCTGTATTGTGTGGAATAGTCTAAATTTTAAGATGTCCTAGAAAAATGTCGTTGTGAGTTCATGTTGGGATGTCTTGACAATCTGTTACATTGTCAAATAGAGTAAGGTTTGAGGTTTGGCTTAAATTCTTTTATATAAAGAGCTTCAATCATCTTAAGGTGTCATCTAGAATTAAATTTCATTAGAATGATGTTACCAAGAATTTTATCATGGGAGTATGCATTTTTTTGTGGAAGACTAGGTGCAGTCTTGTACTGGATAGCAAAATTTATATTCTACACTGGGGACCCTAAGTTTAGATTTGATATGTGTGTTGTTGGCAATTATGAGATTGGTAGTTTTTAATTTTCTATAGTATATTACGGTGGAGTAGTGGATAGCAGCTCGGATTGAGGAATCGGAGAGCCGAGTTCGAATTCCAGTTGAATACATTACATTCACTTTAGCACGTAAGTGAATGTAATGGATTCAACTGGAATTTGAGCTCGGCTCTTCGATTCCTCAATCTGAGTATGAATCCTCTTCTTCTACCCCCATGGGTAAATAGCAGGACAGACCGTGTTCTATAGCCTTTGATGGCAACTGGTCTACTGCAGAAAGAAATGGCAACTTATTGTGGGGAAAAAATCTGCCTCGTCAGTCATGTATTGAAAGATACATGATCATCTAAGTGTGTATCACGCATGGCACATAACCGACTGATAGTATATTGTAAGTTGTACATGTTTGCTGTGGTTGACGAAATGCATTGTTTAATGATGCATCACATAATGAATTCATTTTGTTTATAATACAAGACACTGTCTTTTGTAATAAACTGATTACCTACATTAGCCTGCATCAACAACAACAACTGGTAGAAGGCATACAAACTACTAATGTGATCTCTGTGGCATAATAAGGAACCTGGGAAGCCACACAAAACTTCCCCCATTAGAAAATTTTTTGTTGATAACACCATCACATAATGTTCTCTACTAAAGGTCAAGTAAGAGTGGCTACCTTCAGGACTGGAGACCATATCTCAAATTCTATTAAGTGCAAAGGTTTTTAGTTTTTATTTGTGCTTGTAGTACTTCACTCGTGTATTTGACTTAAGAATTTTTTTTTACATTTGGAATAACTTTATTTAATTGATGTAAGTCTAAGATTTATTTATGAACTTTGCTAAAATCTACGGTTTTGGAGTTATCGACAATAAAATTTCGGACTTATTTGCGTCATTGACTGCTACGACATGACAGTCATTACTGGCATTGTTTGCATACATTCGCTGCTGAATAGACATTCACGGAAGATTACCTTGTTAACAGCTTTTTACTGATCTTACTTGCTTCAATTACTGTGCAACTGAGGACTCATTGCGTGCACATTAATCAAGACATGTTAATGTCAAATCAGCAGCAAATATATGCAAAAGTCCGTTATTGTTGATGATTCCAAAACGGTAGATTTTATCAAAATTTCTTTGTTATTTTCGAATTAAGCATGTACATTTACACCTAAATATAACTATTCTGGAAATTTTTATTAAATACTTAGCGTGGAGTTTAAAAAGCAAATTGCCCCCTCCCAAATGGTCCCAATCAATTTAAATTCAGTTTAAAATACAACAAAGTATTTCTCTTATTTGAAATGTTAAATTTAATATATTAGCTTGAAATTAAAACTACAATAAAAGTGTGGACTCTTCCACAAGCTAGTTAACCCCTGCTAGGAAATGCACTATTCCTGTTATAATTTTCACCATCACAATCTTACATATATATAACAAGCATCCATTGGTTAATCACCTTCAATCTAGCTCGCTGATTGGTCAGTTCCGACCAATCAAACTGCCTGCACGCGACAAATCTGTTTTACCGCGTTTTCCATCTGAGCCAGTCACGTGATTCACGATGATATATAAACAAAACACGTGTAAACTCCCTTGTAGTTTCTTTTCACCTCTCTCTCTCACGTCTCATTCCTTTCTACCAAGTACCAAGATGTAATCTTTAAGCACTCCCGTCTTAACCTTTGCGGTCAGACGTTAAAGACCATTACCAACATTCATGCAAGTACGAACTCTGAAATCTCTTCTGAACTTTTACCAACTTGTACAATACACAATTCCAAACATGCTAAAGAAACTTTATTCTTCTAAACTACAGTTTAATAATTACTTTCACTTTATGAACTTAGGTACAAATATTACCTAATCTAAGAGACACAACTCTAACTTTTCAGTTCACATGCATGTATATCAAATATTGATTATTGAACACACACAATTTTAAGCCTTCTGATAATCCAAACCCTCTATTCCTCTTCAACACGCATAACACACATCCGCAACAAAAGCTTCAAGAAAGATTTTTAATTTTATTAATGCATTCGCGTTTCTTTGGAAGTACCTAATATTATATCTTTTTTGCACCCTGCTACCACTTCTTTATCAATGTCGATTTTTGTGCAAAAAGCGGACCACAGAGCTTATCCAACTTCATACATATTTTCAGAAAACCTCACCTTCTAATTAGTAAATAAACACACAAGTGGACGTTGCAATCTATCCACATGCAATCTTTTTCCAGCGCGTGACCAAATCAAAATTTCCCACTTCTTTCTTCGGAGCCGCTCACGTGATTACGTTGGTTATAAATACCAGACACAAATTCGTTCTTTCTCTTCTTCTTCTTCTTTGTGATTTCTTTCGCTTACTAAAATGTATCTGTTTAAGAAATTGCATCTCGACCCGCTATGAAAGCATATTCACACACATACACGTACGTACGAAACAATTACAAACATCACGAACATTGCAAACTAACATATTACGACTATTCAACTACAAGCAACGGAAACTAATTAAACATTACGGAACATTCACTCCTTTAACTATTCTGAAGCTAAAAGTTTATCAACATATTTTCAGCTTTACAGAAATCTTCCAACTCTCTCACAGTGAACATTTTGCTCAGCAAGTTCATTCAACTTTCTATGAGCTCAAATAAAAATATTTCATTAGTAAAACTTTAATTCCAGACAAAGGGAAGTAACCCCCATGCTTTTGCATCATCACAGACATAAATATAAATATTCTTTGTTATAAAACCGTTTTGTGTTCCTTTTTATTGTTTCATATTTTGTGGTATTTTGCGTTAAATATAAATTCAAGAGGTTACACCAACTGACAGGTCTCTATATTGTCATTGCAAAACAATCTTTTTTTTTTTTTTTTTTTACTAAATTCACTAAAAAAATGTAATTTAGGAAACTTGGAATTGTTACACAGACGTTAAATTAACATTTTTCCAAGGTTAATTTAATATTCATCTCAATTAAATTTTTTATTCATAAAAACAAATAAACTAATGATCAACTTTATGTATTTAAATGCGTAATCAGTATTTTTGTTTCTAACAAATGAAAAAAAAATGCATTCAATTTTTTTTTACCGTACATCTTATACAGTAACATTTTAATTTTACTCAATTTAAAGAAATAATTTAATAATCAATTAATCCTGTTTTTTCCTAATCTTTCTTCTAATGTTTCAAAGTCTCTCCCAAGAAAGTTAATTTTAATAATGTTTTGTTATGTTTAATTTTTAACAGACTTTTCTTCCGATGATATTTTTCTTTTCACCCTCAACGCTAGAAAACCAGTTTACAAAATCCACAAATCTAAAAAAAATACAAGGATCACTGAGTCATTATTATTACGTCCAAGACAGTCGGAGTTATAATTGGGAAGAAAAATAAATCCGACACCAATTCTGATGAATTGTTTAGTATGTGAAAGCATTTATATCGGGGAGACATTTCGAACTCTGAAGGCCCGTACATATGAACATAAAAGAGCCTTACCTCTGGACAACCATTTAAACTCTCTCATGATACGCAGGGACAAGACCGTCTATAATTCTGATTTTACCAGCCACCCTAATTAAAAAGGAACATAATTGTTTGGATTGCTATGAGTTTGAATTTGGTATCAGAAGGTTTTTATATTAAGATGGTTAGTTTACGGGCATGTTCACCATATTAATCCACAACAATATAGAATATAGACATTCAAAAACGAATCAATCACAAGGCAATTGAGTAAAGGAACACCGATTATGAGATTTCAATAAAACAACATGCATTTATGTATAATTAATATACAATTTGAAAACTTGTAGTTTGATAATGCAAGAAATTGACCATTGATAAATTGGGCCTCTTATTGATTTACAGTTCAAAATTGTTCAAGTGTTTAAGAACTGGTCAAACAGAGTTAAGTGGAAAATATTATTTACAGAAATTTGAGTACTTTGTATGTGTGAATAAAGTAGGAGTTTATATGTGTGAATAAAGTAGGGTTTAATTGTGTAAATTCTCCAGAGTTGTTTACCTTGGATTGTTTAGATATTTGATTGAATATTTACGAATACTTGTCAGTAGTGAGTTATTATCACTTTTTAATATTGTAAGAAATTGTTCCTGGTAGAGCGAAATGCTGCGTGTGTTGAGTCAGAGAAATTTGCGCGGCAAAAATGTAGCTGATTATGATTTTTACTGGCGTGGATTCATTTGGCATTTCTCCAGGATGAAATTCTGACTGCCTGAATCGATCTGAAAGCTTCCTTTTATTTTGTTCTGGAAATAGGGATCGGCTCCAAACGGCGGGGCGCGAAAAGATATTTTGCGTGAATTTGCTACAGTTTGACTCAATGAAAAGTCTAGTTCACTGGAACTAGGGTGTTGATTGGTTAATAGGTAATTTTGTGGTAGAGTGTATTATTCCGGAGGGGTGAAAAGGTATGTATGGACTATTCCATCATAATTCTTTTCGTCGAAAATACTTCGAAAGATTGCTTACAAAAATGTCGCAAACTATAAACGCACGGCAAAAATATTCTATTACATCACCGGCTTTTATTAACTCAATTCTTAAAGGATTTACTTATCTAAAACAAACGGTGTGTACGTAAAAACGTTTCTAAAACATGCAAAAGACACAAAAACATAATATCTAGTAGACATGCACATACACACATACACACAGGGAAGACACACACACTTGCGGATAATTGTCATCTGAATACCGCATGAACATATTTAGAGTTATACACTTGTCGCATCCACCGATTTAGCAAACGGAAGTGGATTAACCCCCTTGACTAACAATGGTTTTGTTACGTATCTCTACGTACCAGTGTTTCTCAATTCTAACAAAACTTTTAATGTTTCAAAAATTATGTATATATAATGCATAAAAACTTGATGAACAGTTCCGGAATACTAGTAGGAACGTTTTCTAAATGTCTACTTAATTTCTTAGGCAAAGAAATAAGAAAGACAAGTGAAGTTGCGTTACCATAACATTAACAATTATATATATATATATATATAGTACAGAGTCATTTTGTATCTCTGTGGGCTCCTCCAACACCAGGGTTACATGCGATCCTGTTATCACGACAGTACTGATCGCCTCCCTGACTGGAAGTGTTGCCTGAAGGAAGTAGAAGAGACTCACGACTTTTGTTCATATTTACTTTCTTTACCTCTTTTCACCTCTTTCTTCTTGGAAAGAGGTAGTTACTGTCTTTCTTTTCTCTCATCTGCTTGCCCTCTCTCTCGGGAAGATGTGAGGAATCTGCTTTTCCTTTTTTTTCTTTGTCATCGCCCCGGATTTGACGTCATTTCTGTTGAGCAACCCAATCCTCTGCTTTCTTGTTGTTTGTTAAATTATTCATTGTTTTTTCTCTTAATATTCGTTCGCAGAAACACCATCATGATAGCCTATGCTATCATGTTTGGTTACTTAGCAACCACACCATTTTGGCACCTTTTTCATCGCCATATTGATTACGGCATCTTGATTTGGTTTTCCACCAAATTTCTCGATTTACATAACGACATGCTACATGTGGCATCTTTTTCATTCAGCACGCCGCCATTTTTGGATTTTACTTACCAGTCCCAAATCACTTTATTCAAGTGATTTCTTTTGAGTTTAACTTATCCTTTCATCAAGGATCATAACACATGAACATTTCCGAAGACTTACCACTTGCATGTGGTTACCATGCTACTTTTTCTGGACTACTAATTTAACAACATTTGCATATGTCCACACTCACACTTTGGAACATTTTTTACGTGTTTTTAATATTTTCACTCCTTTCAGTTCTTACAAATGTACATTTTTGCAATTAAGTTATTAGTTGTTTACCAATAATAAAACTTTGGTCTTCTTATTAAGGACTCTGTCTTTGTTGTAACTCAATTTTTGGTGTCATTATTTTCCTGTATATTCTTTATTATAATATATTAAACAGCGACACCTCTGTGGGTCGGTACACTCTAAAAGGCAATATTTACATTGATTTGGTTGGACTTGGAATCCGTTAATTTATTGGAGCTTCAAAGAAACGCGTCATCTCTTCTTGAAATCGGAACGCCATAAGTTACTCTCAAGAGAGACAATAATGTTCTTCCCTTGTATTGGGGGCTGTGCTTCAGATATCACGTGTCTGTTGGTCACGTGTAAATCCAGCCCTTTTTACAACATTGCTTTTTTTTAGTTCTTTTGCTTTCGTTTCTTGAACGGTTTACATCTTCCCAATTTCCTGAAGTGCTCACACGTTGAGTACGGACATTATGTTCACTGCTATTTGTTGAGCGGAAAAGAGGCCTTCTTGGGTCTCCAAGTTCGGCGAGGTACTTTATTTCACCTTGTCAAGAATGCCAGAGAAAGTATGACATTTGTGTTTATTTTTTTTATGTGCCTCAGTTCAGACATGCTTGTTCTTGGAGCAATGTGTGCGGATTGTTGCAACATTTTTTGTATAATATAATACGTACTTATTAAATGCTTCTAATCGTGTACTGCTGTTTATCTCGTCTTTCATCTCCGTTTATTCAGTGCTAGTGTACCAATAAATATACTAATGCTAATATTAGTACCTGGTGAGCGGGAAACGATTAAATATCTTTTCTAACACTGGTAAATTATGACTGGCAAATAAAATGATACTAATAACACCAACGTGTATTTAACAAGTCGAATAAACGCTAGATCTGATTAGCTAATTAAAATCAAACAACACTTGCGGATGTGAATTGTCGTTTGAATACAGCATAGACATACTGGAGCTCTTATACCCTTCAGCATGTATTTTCGTTGGGCAACCCTCGGGCCACATTATGCTCTGTTCTCAGCCATGCTCCGGCTAGTTTGTACTGTCATTGACGACAGACAGTGACAATTATAGTGGTCTTTTCTCTCTCTCTCCTCAAAACGAATCTCATGGAAAACAGCAAAAAGAAATACAACTAAACCAGTAAAAAAACAAAAAAAAAAATAAACAAAAAAAACAAACAAACAAAAAACACCTACCCCCTCAACCTTTCTTTCTCTAATATTCGTGGTATTCATTCCAACTTAGAATCTGTAGCGTAGAATCTTTTTCTTGGAACAGTAACCGGATATCTTTGCTCTTTGTGAAAGTAATTTAAATTCTTCCATTGCTACCAATTAATTCTTGATTCCAGGCTATCTTTGTCGAAAAGATTCCATTATTCACATGCATGGCCTCGGTGTTTACATCTGGGATAATGTTCTGATAGCCAAGGAATTGTCTCTCAAGGCCCCTGGCTACTCTTTCATGTGCTTCCGTCTTTCGTTAGTAAACTCTATTAGCTATCTCATTTTTTCTTTATCACCACCACTCTTTCCAGAACTGCAGTATATCAGGCATAATAGCAGACAGTATAGAAAAGGCACTTTCTCTCCATCCATCTTCGAGCCACTTTTTTCTTTGGTGATTTTAATGCTCACCACGACACGTGGCTTAAAAGTTCTAAAAGTATTGATGTTGCCGGTATTCAGGCATTAGTTTTCCAATTTTTCAATTCCTTACTCAAATCGTGAACTTTCCTACTCGTTTTCCTAATAAAACCAAGTAACAAGCTTCTCTACTTGATTTATTGCTTGCCTCCTCTCCTCATTCTTGCCGAGCTTCGCAGCATTGGCCTCTTGGTAACTCAAGCCACTCTATGGTAGCTATTGATATTTCGTTCCAATTACCAATTAAAGAGGAACCCCCTATTCATAAGGCCTCTTTCAGTTACCAGCATGTTGATTGGGACTCCGTGATTTTCTTCATGACGCCTCTTGGAATGACATCTTTAACATCACAATTGAAAATTGCGCCAATGAAGCCAAAAGCCGGTATGGACTCTTTCATCCCTTCTCAGAAATACCAGTCCTCTCCATGGTTCACACCAGCATGCTTGGTCACTATAGCATACAGGAACCACTATTTTCGGCTATACCAACGTGACAGCTCTCGCCACGACAGGCGTTTATTCGTTGCTGCTCGTAATAAATGTAATCGAGTCCTCGAAGGAGCTAAGCACTGCATAGCCTCTAACAACTTTGGCTATGTAATAGGGTATTAAATAAGTGTAAGGTCTCTATTCCATCTCTCTTCAATCAATTTGAGGTGTTATCATCCTCTGTTGGCAAAGCTGAATGTTTTGCTCGTAAATTCTCCTCAAATGCTATTCTTGAGTCATCTGGAGAAATTGGACATCTCGAAAGCCTTTGACAGGGTCTGGCATACAGGTCTTCTCCACAAGCTGAAAAGTTACGGTGTCACCTGCCAAATTTTTGAACTGGTGCAGTCTTTTCTATCAAATTGTGAAATGAAATTCATCGTGAATGACCAATTGTCTAGATCAGGGGTTCTCAACGGGGGGTGAACTTTGGATTTTTAGGGGTGAATTGTGACCACAGTAAGTTTAGAGTGGAGGGGGCAGAATTTGGCCTATCTGGCCTGTCACATTGAAAAGGAAGGGGGAATGGAATTTGGAAAAATGGTGAAAGGGGTGCATGGGGCAAGCAGGGTTGAGAACCTCTGGTCTAGATCCTTTCGTACTAACCAGACCTCCATCCTTGGACCTACTCTGTTTTAATTTTTATTAATGACCTTCCCGATGACATCAGCTTTCAGCCTGGCATCTACGCTGATGACAGAATGATTTACTCCTGTCTTGATAGTAAGGCTGATCAGTCCGACAAGGTCAAATTGGCAGCCGTGGTCCAAAACGACCTCAAGTCCGTCGTTAACGGGGGAGGGGGGAAGATGGTTTGTTAATTTTAATGCCTCCAAAACTAAACTTCTCTCCATTAATCGAGAGACTCCTTTCTGCCTTCTATTTGCATGGCTGATGCTCAACTCAGTGACTTGTTGCACCTTTTCGTGCTAACGTTCTCAGCTGACATGAAGTGGAAAGACAATATTAAATCCATTGCTAGGTCAGCTGCTAAGAAAGTTGGCTTTCTGTGTCGCGCGAGACATTTTTTCTTTTCAGATTTTATTTTACATATCTATAAGTCTACCATTCATCTATGCTTAGAATATTGCTGCCACATATGGTCCGGTGCTTCTGCTATTTACCTTGAACTCCTTGATAAAATCCCCAAAAGAATCAGCAATATTATTGATCCTGATCTTGCGGCTCAGCTTCAGTCACTTTCCCACTGTCGTAAGGTTTCCTCTCTGTGTCTTTTCTATAAATACTTTCATGGCAACTGTTCTTCGCTATGATACCTAGACCTTTTGAATTTAAGCGCAGTACTAGACTGAGGTCGAGATCTCATCAATTTACAGTTGAGCTAGTTAGATGTAGCCGTTATTTCTATGTTAACAGTTTTTTCTCGTTCTTCTCGCTTGTGGAACTCCATTCCGGTTTCATGATGTCCAACCAACTTTAATCTGCAAAAATATAAATGCAATGTCAAACGCTATGTACTGTCCTCCCAATTATTCTTTTCTCTTTCCGCTCATTATTAATGTTTCTGTTCCTAATTCTTCAACACCCTGTGTTTTAGTGACTTTACTGCCTTGCATGGAGTGATACCGGTTACACACACACACACACACACACACACACACACACACACACACACACACACACACACACACATATATATATATTGTTACGAATTTGCAATACGTAGAGATATGAACTCCATTTTAAAAAAAAGAGATGTGTTCTCTCAGGTAGGAACATACAACACAAGTGTCGACGAACAACAAACACAAAATGAATGTTTGGAAATAATTTTATATAACAAAAACAACGGAATATGGAAAGTGTATGGGATAACAGACGTAAAATCAATGAAAGGAACTTATCTGATACTTGGTGTTAGTTCAAGCATTCGTGTTTCTATAATTTGTAAATTCAAATGTTCGTCATAGCAAATAGACAAAATCTCTTTAAAATGTCTACAGAAAAGTCTGTAGTTCTTTCCGCAATATAAGATATAAGCCCCTGGAATAGTAGTCATATTTCGTTTCTACCCTGATATCGAATTATATCCAATATGAAATTGGGATGATATATTCGGGTATAATATTCTCTTATTCTCTAAACATCAAGTAGTCGAATAAATCCACAGACTTCAGGAATAACATCTTTTTATTCATTATATATTGAGTAGTTGAATAAATCCAGGATCTCCGGGAATAATATTTCTTTATTTCTTACACATCAAGTAGTAGAATAAATTCATCGACGCATTTATAATGAGCGCACGATGAGAGCCGATTTACTGGCGACCTATCGTTGTCGGAGATTATCGGGAAACTGAAATTACAATTGAAAAATCCCATTTGGTGGTGCATGTCACGTCGGCTTGGGTGACCAACTTTTATTTACTCCCATAGGAAGTCAATCTGTTTAATTGTCAAGCGACACAGATTCTTTCCCACTATTTCCTAGTCGAAACAGGACGAATGGCGAATAAAGAAAACAGCAACCAGCGAGTAAATTCAAGCTCTCCCAGCTGGTATTTCAACCTCGAGTCGTTCCTTCTTGAGTTCTGTCTCAAAATCGCACTAACAGACTGTTCTAGCCACCAACCGTGAACGTCACTCGAAGAACTAATATTTATTTGTATTAAAAATACAAAATGTGGCACATGGCCAA